AAATGAAATAGTAAAATTAATAAAAAATTCATACAAAATAAATTTGTAAAACAATAAACTAAAAAAAAAAAATTAACAAAAAAAAAAATTTGAAAAAAGTATAAGAAAAGTATATAAAAAATTAAATATTTGAAAAAATAAATATTAATAAAAAATGAATTAAAATTGAAATTTATAAAACAAAAATAAAAATATAATAAGTGTATTTAAGAAACAGATACAAAAAAATAAGATAGAATGTAAAATAAGTAAAAATAGAAGAAAATAAATTGGGAAATATAAAATATAAATAAGTGAATAAAAAATTAACAAATTGAGGACAAAAAATTAAAAAAATTAAACCAAATTATTGAATTTTGAAAATAAAATTAAAGTTATATTAAAAAGGAGAAAGTAAACCAAAAAATATAATAAAAAAATGAAAAAGCAAAATTTTTAAAAAAATTCATACAAAATAAATTAGTAAAATAAAATAATATAAATAATAAACACAAAAATGATAAAAATAAAAATAAAATAAAATAAAAAATAAATAAAAATATAAATAATTATAAATAAAAAAATGGAACCAGAAAGTGTATTTGACAAAATAAATAAATAAAAGTACATAAAAAATTAAATATATGAAAAAATAAATATTAATAAAAAAAATAAACTAAAAATTTATAAGCAATAACAAAAATATAGTGTATTTAAGAAACATATACAAAAAAATATAAGATATAATGTAAAAATAAAAATAATTAAAAATAAAAATAAAAAAAGATAGTTGAAAAATAAAAATAAAATATGAATTGAAAATACCCAACTACACAATCGCCTTGCTATTGTTGACATGAACGAACCAAGTTTTTTAAGGTTAGTTGCAATAGTTTTCAATGCAACGTTCATGTCAACTGCCGTAACACATGTGACAGTGGCAGGACAAAATAAGCCTAAACGACACAAAAAGAATAAATAATATAAAAAATTGCATAAAAAATATTGAATGACAATCTAAAGTGTTCAACTGTCACGACAATGCAATTTAAGCATACACTTTCACACTTAAATATGTTTTAGATGACTAGAGGACGCCCAAAGAGTTGTCATGGCGGGTGAGCAACAGACACCAACACGAAGAGGGGGACAAGGCAAGAGAGGTTAATTGTAATTGAAGTGTGGACAGTACAGTATAGTACAGCACACGTGCAACAACTGTTAATTAGACTTGTTGCACGACTAAATATGAACATATATACGTACAAATATATAAGTAAACTGGAGTAGTTTCAACTTTAAAACGCGCGTGCAATCATTTAATTAGCGTAGATAAATTATAATTGAATTGTGCATGCGTATCCTTCGTGTCCTGTTGCACGTTTAGTAATATGAATTTCAGTAATAAGGAAAATACAGCGGAAAGGTTCAAGTGGTTCTCCATATGACACGAATTTTTTTGAAACTTCAGCTAAATTTTTGAAAATCAAAAACACGTGGCAACCCTGCAACCGTACACATCTCATATTTTGAACGTTCCGGAAAATGATAACAAATATGGCAACCCTAATGGTATATTCTCAAGGAGTGGTAACTCTCTAATGCTTCAATAAGTCTGGCTTTTAAAATAAATATTTTTGAAATACTAAATATTTCCTAGTCGAATATTCCCATTTATCGATATTTTTTTCTTCAAAATTCCTTTCCAGGAGCGTAGGGTTACTAAAGCACATATATCTTAGATGATAAAAATCAGTGGCGGATTATTAGTTCAAAAATTTCAGCAAACTTCTATCGAACAGAAACTCAGAAATCTGGTTTAAAACCATATTTTGATTTTTTTAAATTATAATATTCAAGTAACAAAGTAAAACGCGCTAAAGATATGGCATTATATTATAGTTGTAATTATAATTTAATCTTTTTTTTAATTTATCAATTAACGTAATCGAGTACACTCACACGGAACTCATCAGGACTGTAGGCAACCAATGGCTGAGTATATAAGAGCGGAGACACTTGCTGAGGTAAGTTATATAGAGAACTCGTTGGTAGTGAAAACACACAAGTGCGAAGTGAACTTAGTAAATCCATACTTCTTTTAATCTGACATAAAATGATTTTTTCGAATCATATGAACCAAGAAACTGTCACAACTAATCTTTCAACTAATAAATGCATTGACGCGCACATAAACAAAAAAAAAAAAAAAAAACATATATTGAACTGCTGCAATAAAAATAAAGCAAAAAATGTATTCAACTTGCACCCCATAAGTATTAATAAATAATAATAATAATAAAAATGCACTTAAATATAATTAAATACATACGATATATTACGGTAAATGATTATTTGTTATAAACTTAAGCCAAAACCAGTTGAAGCGTAACGCAAAAAAGTAACAATCGATAAATGAAAGCTTGAAAGTAACAAAAACAGAACAAAATGCACTTAAAACTTTAAATTTATACTAAAGGGCATACATAAAGAAATGCAAAACTTGTGTAATATTCAACAATTTATTAATTATAAATAATAAAATAAAGCATAAAATAAGGTTGGAATAATTAAAAAAAAAAATAATAATAATTTAATTAATAAAAAACCAGATAAATGAATAATATTACAATTAAAAAGTAGTCATATCAGCTGCTTATTAAATCACAAATACCCATTTATAACAGTAATTATCGTATATGAAAGTCGACTATGCCATAAGCCACCTTTAGGGCACACTACTGTGAATACAGGTCCAAAAGTACATAAATGTTAATATGAAAAGTGATTCAATATGAAAACTTTATGCATAAAAGTTTAGTTGTGTGAGATTCTCGAAATCAATTTCAACGCTTATGAATGTTCGAATTACTGAAAATGCTATATTTTTCTTATTTTTTTTTTAACTATATTGATGGTGCTTGTCACTAACGTTTACATAATATATATGCTAGATGATGAGTAGTGGTCTTTTTTTTTTAAGAATAATAATTATTATTTAAAACAAAACTATTCAAAGTCGTTTATCGTCTAGTTATCGATAATTTTGTTATCGACTTTTATCGATAACAACGAGATAAAAATCGAAATGAAAAATACTCACATTATTTTGCTATTTATCAGTTGCCGATAACTTGATAACTTAATAATGCAATTTTATGCATATTTTCGACTACTGAATACGATTAGTGTGACTCCAATTTGCAATTTTTAATCGTTAACTGTAATTAACTTAATTTTTTTTTTTGCCATTGTAAGCGGCTACTTTTTGTTTTTTCAATTACTAACTAAATATGAAGTTCGATTAATCGATTATTTATCGAAATAATAAGATTATCGATTGGTTGGTTATTTTGTAAACAATTTTATTGCTGAAAATATAAACACTGTCACACCTTTTGACAAAATTGCTATGATTTTTACTGATCAATGGCGATATTAAAACATTGTAATCGATAAATTTAGCAAATTTTTCAATATTAATCAAATTACCAATGACTGGTAAGTCAATTTATTTTTTAAATAACTCATTTTCCATTACATATTAATAATCACAAAATCGCAAAGAAGTCAAGTTCAATATTATAAAAAAATGTTTATCGATTATTTAAAAGTTATATCGATGGAAGGGCAAATGTTGGCATACCATTTGAAAAATATCGACAATATAAAATTTTTCGTCATCAGCAGGGTAGATAATAAAGGTAATAAACCTTAAGTAATATATATTTTTTAAAATTGTATTATCGCTAATTAATTGAAATACAAATAATATTTATTTCCTAAACATTTATCACCGAAAAAAAATTCAAAGAGTTGATTTCGTACTACTCGAATTACCGATAATTAATCGATATCAATATAATATTTTTATCCAAGGTTATTTGAAAGATAGTGAAGTTTGAAAAACAGGTGTTTTCGAGTTTAATCAAAAATCAAATAATCTTCTATATATTTAGTACTGACAATACAATTCAAAAAAGCTAAATTACCGATAATTAATCGAAATCGTTACAGCATTCAGTATCTCAACGTTCATCACAGATAAAAAAAAATCGGTAGTGAGGGTAGATTTTCGAATTTAACTAAAATTATTAACAATTCAATCGATAAATAATCAGAAAAGAGTTCAGTTGGCAGTAAACGATATTTATCAGTAATAATTACATTTTAATTTAGAAAAATATCTTAATATTTTTAATGCAAATAAAGTTTCAATGAATTTTCAATATTTACGGAGAAAAATCGATATAATCGAATATCGATTATTTTGTAATTTTTCCATTACTTAATTACAAAATGATATACAGTGCTTGATATTTTTTTCTCTTTATCACAAAATTTTTTTATATTTTTAAGAAAATACATAATACTTTGTTATCGACTTTTTTCGATAAATATCTTTGAAATAGCACTGACAAAAATTAATTGTTTCGTAAATAACATATTTTTAGTCAACACCCACTCTATGATTTTAATCGATTAATCGTCGTTTTAGCTAGAGATGGGAGCCTCAGGTTTTTCAAACCAAAATATTTTTCCCGCAGTCGATATAAAACTATAAATTTTTTTAATATTTCACTTTTTTGTTACTAAAGTGATTATATTATCTAAAAGAGACCACCAACCGAGAATATGGATTTCTGAGTAGTCCCAAAACCAGCTCAAGCCAGTTTAAATGAAAATATCGAAAAATGAAAGATGAAGACTTGAATGTTTTGCTTTGAAAATGGTTTTTGAATTATGGTTTATGCAACTCTAAATCGTAAATACAGTTAAAAAATGTAAAAGTGCCCGATAGTAACGCAGAATAACATCCCCTAGGAGATGCGACGAATATGAAATGCAAATTTACTTGATCTTGTTAATCCCTTCCAAGCTTTAATACGAACTACAAACATACATATATGCAGGTGGTTAAAAACCCGTGACGCCGTGAGGTGGGTGGTAATGAAAGCTAAGATTTTCTTATGTTTTTGTTTTGTGAACTGTTTAAGAGTACGTGTGCACACGCTACAAACCTCATTAACTCGTAGGCGGCATTCGTGGAGTGTGGACGCGACGCCATATACAACTCCTGATGACCCAGCATGCCGCTCCCTTGTGGTTGACTTACAAGCTCCTGCTCCTCCAAAACATAGCCATGCGCCTGACGCAACGGCGTTGAGCTCTTCAACAACGTGCGTCGGTAGGCGCGTTCGAAGGGCGTACGCGACATGAAAGACAACGCCAGACTAGGATCATTCGACAACAGCTTACCTACACGATCCTGCGTATAGAGCTCGGTTAGCGAGCCATGTGTATGATGTTGTGGCTGCTGTAGTTGGCTGTTCGGCGACGCTGAGGAATTTGGCGAGTCGACAACATCGTAGTTAAGTATACGCGCCACGAACGATGGTGGTGAGGGTTTCTCAGCCGACTGTGTGACCAGCGGGAAATTCGGTTTGCGACCCGAAGTCGGCGTAAGAAACGGATCAGGCTCCACGCGTTCCGTTACCAAATCCGGTATGGTGCCCATCGAACGCATCTTTTGAATGGGATAGTGATTGCCACGTTGCAGAAATGACGGCGGCTGTTGATTGTTGTGTGGCTGCGGTAGTGGACTATCATCGTTGCCAATGAACTTGGCATTACCCACTTTATTCTTCACAAACAATTTGCCCGAATTCGTCGATGATGTGGAGTTCTTGCGTTGCTGCAAATTGAAACGATGCTTCTCCTCCAGCGTACGTTCGCGTATGCGTTGCAACTCCTCACGTATCTGCTCCTCACTGTAGTCAGCCAGACACAGATTACTCAGCGAACGCATTTTTGGTATATGCCCACCACTCTCGGCCAACAACTTTAGGCGCCGCGGCGAATCGCGATCCAACTCCTGTGAGGCGCGATGAAACTCCATTTCGATAATGGAGATATTCTCCATCGACTTGATTTTCGCAACGCGCGGCGTATGGAAATTCTCATCCAAGCCCGAGTCATCCGCTGTCTCCTCCGAACCCGACTCGCCACTACCGCTGGCACTGCCACTGCCACGACTACCGCCACTGCCGCTGCCACTTTCGTAGATCTGTGAGGCACGCGAACCGCTGCGACTGTTGCTCGCGGCGCTGCGATATGTTGGCGAGGGTGTGTGTAGCACAAACTTTTCACCGTAAATCGATAGCGAGCTCGTGGCTGAGGGTGGCATCTCGTTAAGTGGCGTACGGAATTCCTCATCACGTATGGTGGAGTTGGGCGTCTGGAAGAGTAACTCTTCACTCTCATACTCGCTGATGGTTTCCGTCGTTATTTGCTGCTGCTGTTGTTGTTGGTTGTGGTGGTGGTGGTGATTCAACGATGGTATATTAAGCTTCATGGCGTTGGCGGTTTTCTGATTAAGTCTATTAAGTAGAGAAACGGATTTGCTGAATCTGCTGAACGTGTGTATGTGTGTGTTTAAGTATGCATTGTAAGTAAGTTTGGTTGATTGGTGGGTGAGAGAGCGAGAGCGAGAGAGAGAGAGATACGTGGTGCAGCGAAGTTTCAATTTGTTTCAAATAATTTTTCGTTTTGCCAACAAGTCGTCAGTGCAATTGGTATTACCGTTAAGTTCAATACATTACATTACAGTACATTACATAACAATACATTACGTTCAACCGTTGTCATTGCATTGGTGTTTATATATATAAACCAACAACACCATTATTATTTGTTATAGTTTTAGAGTAGATTTCGTTGGTTGGCGCCCAAAATACCAACAAATTTTTTTTTCGGTTTATAATTTTTCAAATTCATTACACAAAAATTATAAAAAATCATAAGAATTGAATACAAAGAAACGAAAAAAGAGTATAATTAGCGCAAAATAACAAATGGAGCATAATAAAATAAATTAAAATTACTAAGCTAAGTGCTGGAGCTAAGAGTTTTACGTAAAAAAAAATTAAATTAAATTAATAAAATAATTAAATTAACTATATAAATATAAGAAGCTATTATAAAATATTTTTTTACCTAAAAAAATTATTATTTAAATAAATTTTTTATAAGTAAAATTTTATATAAAATACTTTTTGCCATTTAAATATTTTTTTTTTTTAATTAATTAATCATTAATAAAAAATATTTTTTACCTTATGTAAATTCTATCAAATTAATTGCTAATTATTTAATTAATTACTAATTAAATTAAATTAAACTAATTTTGCTGAATAAATTTGCAAGAAACCAAAAGCCATCAACCAAATACGTAGTATGAATAATTATCACAATTATTTATTAATTAGAATAAAAACCAATTTTTTATTTATATATATTTTGTTTATATATATATTTACCAATTTTTTAAACTACAGTAAAGTGAAATTCGCATTCAAATTATTTTAAGCGTTAAAAGGTACGCGAGTGTGCTGAAAAGTTTTTAAGTGCAATATTTAGGAAATTATTATTAATATTTTTTTTTAATAAATGCCAACACTGTTATTCCCATATGCTTACTATTCCACCAAAATAATGGCAACAAAATGCTACCTATCCACCAAGTACGATGAAAAATGCACTATGCATAATTTTTACGACTCGGAATCCCATCAGCAATGCTGAAAGCTTTAGTAAAAATAGGTAAAAAAAAAGAACCTGTAGCTACAAATATCGGAAATATACCGTTAAGAGTTTACCAAAATTTCTAATACACGGCTCAATAAACAAGAACACATTGAAGAAGAAATTTACAAAATTCGTAAAGAAAAGGAAAAATTTAAATCCATAGGAAAATTTATAAATTTTCAAAATGTGTCGATAAATATAATCGCATTTTTTTCTGAAATCGATAAAAATAATCGAACAACTTTCTGAAATTTATCGATAAATAGTAGACGACCAAGCATTTAACGGTGAGCTATTATTTCTATACTTGAATTTATCGTTTTCGTGTGATTATCCTTTTCGTTTGCATTTCGATAATTAAGAATTTACATCGATTAAACAATTATTTATAAAATAAAAAAATAAATAATTATCCCTAAAGCTTTGCTTTATCATCTATCGATAAATATTACCGCCTAATTTCATAAGGATCTAAAAAATAATAAGTAATTAAATTTTTTAATGAAAATCCAACAATTAGGTATCAAAAAGTTATCGATGAAAGTAAAAATTGGCTAAAACAAATCACAATTTATATAACTAATAAATTTTTGACTTATATACAGTACTCCTATTTTTTAGAGTGATTAATCGATTATTTATCGAAAAATATAATCGATTACTTTTACAATTAAAAAAAACTTTCCTAAAGTAATTTAATGCTAATCACCTAATGGTAAAAGTGAAAATAGTTTCCAACAGCCGCTAATTTATCATAGAAAATTCATATCGATTAATCGATAATTTATCGAAATGATATTTAAAACCTTGCGATAATCGAAAATCGTATTTATATATATTTAATATATCTATAATATTAATCTGTGAGAATATTTTAGCAGCAGTTATTAATATTCGAGCTGGTAGGTTGAGTTGAGTGAGAACAAAAGGATCCATAACAAAGACTAGAGAAAAAAAATTATTTTTTAGCCATTTCATTGCCCGCTTGTGAATTTTTGTAGTAACTTTCATGAACAAAAATGGTATTTTTTCATTAAATGGTTTTCTAAAATTTTTATAATTTTTTTTCATTACTTTTGGTAGTGATTTTTATTATTAAGATGTGCTTGAAGCATAAAAGCAATTTATTACGCGTAAAAAAACTCACTTCGCCGGTGAACCAAAGTAACCTTAATTCAAAACCGCACCCCTAATGCATCGCTTTGAGTAGAGTATATTTTAATTGTAATAAAACTGATAAAAATAAATGCAACTGCGTACCAAAGGCGATGAGCTCATCACCAACATCTCGGTTGACGCCCCAAAAATAAGATCAAATACAAGCAACAAAAAAATAAAAAAAAAATAATAATAATAAAAACATACGAGGTACAAAACTGCTTTAGATTGCACATATATATGCACAAATACTAACGGAAGATTTTGTGACAGTTAAGAAATGCCAGAAAAAAAGCCTAAAAATAAATGAATAAAAAATATGAAAAAATTAATGAGGTAAAAGAATTTACTGGCAAACAATAAATGCAAATATAAAAATATTTGCATATACCACAGTTGGATGCGTCTAAATTTAATTGTAAATAAAAAAATATATATATATGTAAGTACACGAGAGTAATACAAAAATATACATTGAATTGAATGAGTAACAAATTTGACTGTCTGCCAATTTTGGTCTGTGCATTTGTGTAAATCACAAATGCTGCAAACAAACAGACGAAAGTTAACCCAGTTTGCCTAAAAAAAAAAAAAAAAAATTAAAAAAAAAAAAAAAAAATTTAAAAAAAAAATGAAAAAAAAATGATACAATTTTTATTAATTAAAAAAAATATATATATAAAAACAAAAATAAAATTAAAAAATTAACAAGAAAATAAAGAAAATTTGAAAATATAATAAAAAAAATTATTAAAAAAATAAAATAATATAAAAAATAAAAATAAAATAAATAATAAAAAATATTGAAAAAAAAATATTTAGAAAAAAATACAACAAACATAAAATTCATATATTTTTCTCAACTGAGCTTCCAAAGTTCTACAGCTGTCAGGATTTAAAAAAACCGAAATTAAAATTATAGACTTACTTAATTAAATTTTATAAATTTATTTCGCTTGCTTGGCTTTTGATGTGCTTCTATTCATTCGATATTCATATTCACGCGCTTATTTCTTTTATACGCATATTTATAAGTAAACGTTCGCGCCGCATACATATATGCATGATTTATATGCGTTTAGTCATGTCGTCACTTTTTGAGCGGACGTCAAACTGTCGGCCGTAATGGCCTTAAACTTAACATTGAAAAATTGCATTTGAGTTTGCAAATCATTTTTATTGCCGCTACATGGCGCTGGTTAGTAAGCTAAAAAAAAGTGTGCGCTAAATTATTGAAATAAATTTTAATCGAACGAATTCTGGTGAAATGAGTTTCTTGCTTATATTAAAATCAATTGAACTTTATTAAATGAGAAAATTTTTTTAAATTTATATTTTCATTGTGTTCAATTGAATATTATTTACTTTAATAGAATACCACTTTTTTAACAATTTTAATTTACTTATTTTTAATTTTTAGAAATTTAATTCAATTTATTTAACTGAAGCTATATTTATTTAATAAAACATTCCCCTAAGGACTTTTAATTCCAATTGATGGCATTTCGGGTTTAATAATTAATTTTCCTTTGTTTGTTGAAAACAAAGAAAGTCTTGGATACCCAAGAGGGTATGAGATTATTGGAAAAAAAAAAATAAATAAAAATATAAAAAAAAAAATTAAATAAAAAAATAAAAATAAAAATTAAATAAAAATATATAAAAAAAAAAATTAAATGAAAATATATAAAAAAAAAATCAAATTTGTTGTCTAATCGAGGAAAATATAACGAAACAGTGGGAAAATGACCGCTAAATCGTTTTGGAAGTGGGCTGCAAATAACTGATTCGAAACCAATAATAAAAAAAATTTATTAGCAATGGAGAGTAGTTCAAAAGCGCAATTGGTTGAATTAAAAATACTATTAATTTGATTAAAATAAGTAAGTATTTAATTAATGAATACAAAATTTAAAAAGTCATTAGGAATTTTGTAGAAAGATATGAAACGAAAATTGATAATAAGCCACGATATTTTTTTAACAATTAAATTTAAAAAAAGACCAAGTTTTATCAAAATTATTATAACATATTTTTTAATTGGCATTAAAGAGATAAAATAAAAAAAAAATTAAAACTAATTACTATTTAAAGCTTCTCAGTTAAAGCTAGCCTAGCATAATTGTGAATTGGCAGAGAAAACAAAATTTAAAAAACAAAAAATAATAAAAAATCATTTTTCAAATAACGAAATAATATCATTAACTCACTAGTAAATTAGCCAAAATTAATCTTAGCAAATTTAATGAATATCCAATGTAATTCTACCATAAAATTTCTAAAATTGAATTTAATAATAAAATATTCGAATAAGTTCCACGAAGATATCTTAGCAAAAGGTTGTGAGCAGCATTTCGAAAAACACTTTCAAAATCCATAAAAAAAAATAATATTTTACTAGAATTAAAAAAAAAATACACCCCAAAATTACTTCGATGTGCCCTAACAATTAAATAGCATATTAAAAAAAAATTCAATAATGGAAAAGGTTATGGAAAACTTCATCAAAAACAGTTTTAAAATATTTTAGAATTCATTACTACAATTTTAATGAAAAAATTAAAAATAAAAATATATCAAAATATTTTTATGTAAAAAAATTTATATAAATTTTGGCTAAAAATTAAATATTAAGAAAAAAGTGCAAAATTTACATTATAAAAAAGCTTTATGGAGGTTTAAATAAGTCGTTTATATTAAAAAGAATACAATAGTAAAATTAAATTTGTTAAAAAAAAATTAAATTAAATTCGTTTAAAAACTATTATATTAAATTAGATTAAAAACAATTAAATTAAATTGAAAAAAAAAATTAAATTAAATTCGTTAAAAAAAAAAAATTAAATTAAATAATTAAATTAATTAATTAAAAAAATTTAATAAAAAAATTTCCCCAAATCCACTCTAAAATTATTACAAATTATTTCTGCTCAAGATTTTCTTAGAAAAAATACATAAAAAAAAATTCCAGAACATTTTATGTAAAAAATATCCAAATTTTCGGCAATAATTAAATATTAAAAAAAAAACTCAGAATTTGTATCACATGAGGGACAAATATCAAGGATTGAAAGGGATGTTTAAGGCGCCACCCTAGAATTTTGGAAAACGCAATTTTTTTTGCGCACAGTGTACCTTTGGGCCCTCGAAATGATACTCAATTGGTTTTAAAGCCAAAAAATATATCAAATAGCTGCACTTTTTACTTTGCTGCAGCACCTTGGAGCGTGCGCCGGGTGCAATGATAACTTAAAACGCGTTTTTCTCAATATTACATTTTTCAAACTGGGAGGACAAATTATTCGGACCCTATTGCAGAGATTTATCTGAAAGCTACCATTAAGCTTTACAAATACAACTTTTTTTTTGGAAGTGCGTACACGTTTTTGAATTTTTTTTAATAACTTGGTGCGTATTTTTTAGTAAAAAATAAATCTTTTTTTTAAATATGTGTGCCGCTTTCCCAAAAATTAGTTAAAAAATAAATACGTACGTACTTCCAAGGACCATAGTTGGTAGATCATAAAACCTTTTGCTTTTCTGTTCTAGGTCTCACGCTTTAGAAAAAACCTTTCAAAAAAATAAAATTATGGACTTTATCACCGCCATTTTGTAACAAAATAATTATTAAAGAATATTTGTTTTTACTTCAATATATGTTCAGTGAAATGGTTAAATAGAAATTCTATACCTTTTCCAAAATTCGTATAATAAATTTAAAAAACTCAGTATATTTTTCTACCTCTAGAGTGGCTTAACATCTGAATTACAAAAAAAAAAATAATTATTGCTATTATTTTCAGAAAAAATGCCTTTAAAATTATTTCAAACACTTTCTCACTAAAATTTTATTGAAAAAAAAAAATGTAAAAAAATGTCCAGAATGCGTTTTTAAGTAAAAAAAATAACTAAATTATCCTTAATTATTAAATATTTAGAAAAGTTGAAAAATGACATCACCGATGAACCTTATGAGGAATTATCTTTGAGTAAAAAAATTTTTTGATTTTCACTGAAAATGTTTTTAAAATTATTAAAAAAAAAGAACAGAAAGCGTTTAAGTAAAAAGTACCTTATTTTTCAATAGATAAAATTTAGAAAAGTTCAAAAACGACATCATAGCAGAGCGCTAAAATGATTATGGTATAATTAAATTCAAATTAAAATTATATAAATAAACAATTTCACTGAAAACACTTCTATAATTATTAAAATGTATTTCTTCTTAATTTTTTTTTTTGGATAATATGTAAAAAGCATAAAAAAAACAATAAAACAAAATTCTATAATTTTCTTTCCTAATCATTAAAAATTTAAAATTAATTCAGGGAAGTCAACATGGGAATTTAAAAGGTAGTTTGTATTGAAAAAAACAACTAATTTTATAATAAAACTCGACTTAAATTCATATAATTAAACAAGAACTACAAGAATTTGTCTATAAAAGGTTTGAAAATTATTATTTTCTCATAAATATAATAAAAAAAAATTTAAATAAACCCACAATACAACACTATTATTTAGAGAAATGTAAAATTTCAACACAATTTGAGGTTAGGGTTGATTGGCCCATAAAAAAAAATTGGAAAATATAAGGAAAACATACTAAAAATTGCTTACAATAAAACACTTGTTTACTGAAAAAAAATAGCATTTGGCTGTTTATAGTTGTTGTAGAGTTTTTGTGCTTGTTCATTTTTTTCATTTTTGGTTATTCTTGGTAGCTTAGTATGTCATGTTGTAGTTTAGTAGGGTTAAAAATCTCAAATGTTTTGTGGCGCGTTTAGTTATTTCTGTTATTTGTTGCTTTGCATGTAAATTTTTGTTGGTTAGTGTTGCTTGTTTAGTTGGTTAAAATAGGCAGAGACGTGTAAGAAAACCAAAAAGTATCGAACAAAAAATTTTTACAATTTTTTCAATGCATAACGGTTTTTTTTTTTTTTTTTTTTTTTGTTTTTTGCATTATACTTTGGCACTCGAATTAGTTTTGATGGCAAATTAGTAGATACATATATATGTATAAGAAATATATAAGCTATATACGTTTAAAGTATAAAATACATTACGTACTATACAAAAATATAAACAAAATTACAACAAAAATTATACAATATTTAATAAATAAATGCTTAACAAGTAAAAAAAAAAAATATATATATGTTGCTACTTGTTGTTGTGTTGCAACAAAAAACGCTTACCTTGCATGACCTGAATCGCCTTCAGAACTTTGCCTCGAATGTTGACTGTGCGAAAAACTGCTATAACCCGAACCCTTTGACATCTACGCACGCAGGCAGGCAAAAGACAGCCGCATAGAAGAGTAAATCACAAGAAAAGTAAAGAGAAAATAAATTTTAGTTGGTGGCACATACAAATCATCGAGTTATCAGCATTTTACTCACTTGACTAGTGTTGCTGGAATTACGCGAGTGGCCCATTTCCATAATCGACGCGCTTCCTGTACCCCCACCACTGCCCGCCAGCACATTGCCGCTGGTTGTGCCGCAATTACTGCTACCTACAATACTGAGCACGCCGATGCCACCGCCGCCGCCGCCGCCACTGCCACCCGTACCGCCAATGCCACCGTAAGGCAGCATTTGTTGTGCATTTGTCAATGTCACCACTGTTGTTGTTGCTGCTGTCGTCGTTGTACCCAACGTATTTTGCGTTGGATAAGCGATATATTGTTGTTGTTGTTGTTGCTGCTGTTGCAACAACAGCGCTTCTGTAGTGAGTGTTGTAGCGGATTCGGATGATTCCGAGAGGCCAGAGTCTGTCACAATCGAAGCGATCACTACTTGTGGATCCAAATCTGTGAGTGAAGGGAGAGGGGGAGATATTTATATATATATTTATGTTAAATTATAAATTCCAGACTCATCAGTTTACCATCATCGCGCACAGTCGACACAGGTCGCGTACTAGCCGCACTGTTGAGACCACCGCCCAATGTAGCGCCGCCACCTACAGGTATGCCTTGACTGCCGCCGCTCACACTGGACGCGCCACTGCCCACACCGCCGCCAATGCTTGGCAAGGCTGTTGCAGTGGGCGTTTGCAAGCCAACGCCCGTCGCTGCTGTGGCCAAGTCATCTGTAGATGGCTTCTGTTTGCTCTTCAGGTTCGGTGTGGGTCTAAAGAAAGAGGAAAAAAAAACAATTTTTTTTTTTTTGAGACAAAGAACTTTATACAAAAGTAAAAGTACTTACGCCTTGAAGAGTATATCACCGCTAAGCATGTGCATTTTAATGGATACCAACAGCATGGAGTTATCCAGACGATGTCGCGAATCGTAGCCCTCGAGCAGAAAGCGTCGCGATGTTAGTCCAGCGCCAGCGAATTCGGCAAGATTTATATCGATAAAACCTAACTTAAAATAACTACGTCCACCCTTCATCTCTTTGCGTATGGAGATGCGTAAGTAGCAGGGATCCAGTACGCCGGTCGATGCGTTGGCGGACATTTTGCATGGAAATTCGAAATTGCGATTCCATACTACACGATGATCGCGTACCTCCTCTCTGTGGAATGGAAAGAAATTCAAATTTGCGGTTATAGAAATTTAGTACAAGTCGGTGAAAATTACTGTCTAGTATGGAAAAAGATCGTACGTAGGGATATCAAAAACCCCTATTTCGAAAGAATTTCCAAGCAAGTAACCCTGGGTTTCTGTGGGGTTTCACAAACCTGCTAAATGTTATGCATATTCGAGATACCACAGTCAATTTGACTACAAACGACACGTAAATACATCCGACCAAGCATCCGTAGTTGCTTTTCAGGTTAAGGTAGTGAGTATCTGTCTCTTTCTAACTAATATCTGGAACATTAGGGAATCAGGCAACAGCTCTTAAGGTCTGGCGAACCTCAGAATGGTACAGATAAGCAAGTATAAGATCAAACGAATCACCTCGGTTCCGCTGCCGGCTGAAAGTCTTTCAGAAGAGACCGAACTTGATGAATGGATAGTCTATTTCATTAAAGCCCTGAGAGGCGGATCTAGAATCTCGTATCTCTAATACACACACGTTGCAAAAAGACAGTAGTTAGCTCTTAATCTGAATATGACTGTCTCCACTAAAGCTCCCTCCTTTTAAGCAGTGACCCAAGGATTTACACAGATTAGTTATCACAACTCGCACAAGGGTGCCCACTATTCGGTAGTGAAGGACCTGAATTCACTTGGCCTCTTTAATTTATCTCGAACGACGACAAGAGGGGAGTCTGCGCGATGAAACTTAGGAAAGCTACCATTGGTTGGAAGTCTTATCAGTTCGGCGTTTGAGCTTTTATCAGCTGAGGCCTTTCTGAAACTTTGTGGATTTCGCCCGATTAAGATTAGGTGGTTTGCGATTGAGCTTGCACTCTGCGAACCGAGTTAGTTTCTCCATAGTCGTGCTTAATGTGCCATGAGAGAGAATGTTTAAAATCCAGACGAGCCACTTGAAGATTGTTGGGATCGGAATACCGTAAAGAGACAATGAGATGTGTGTAGGGAAACAATAAAAACGCCGGGAACAGACGGACTTAGAGCTTTTAAAAGGGCTTCACGAAGATTCATATTCAAATACTGAAAGCGCATACGTTAGTGGACCACGATAAGCCGGAAGGGTTTCTTTCGATATTTTGGAACATTGATTTACGGCAGGGCTTGAACTTCAAAGCACGTTTATTTTAGCTTTGAGCGTATCCGTTCAGAGAGACGATGAGAGAAATCAGACTGAAGTACGAATTCGGTTCAGATCCTCTTTAAGAGACGGCTCACACATTTTATGAATAGAAATCTAGGTCGTGCCATAAAGTTTAATATATTCGGGCAAAATAAAACGTGAAATTTTATCAATGCTGAAAAGGCATTCACATTTTGAACTCACCTGCTGCTGTATTCCTGAAACGAGCCACCATCCAATAGACGTATTTTCGCGAACAGCACCTCATTCACAAGCGCCACCTCGGAGAGCTCTTGCAGCTGTACCTCAACATTGAACTTATACTTTTTCTTTTTCATCATAAAGGCCATACCAGGGGCGCTAGGCCCAAGTAATGTCATACAGTTTTAACCAATGTACGAACGAACCGGATATCGCTGTATGGCCGGAAAACACAATTCGAACACAATTTCTACAATTAACGATGTAGCAATGCCTTACATCGGCAGCAATAAAGCACAACCGATGGTGTGGGCAAATAAAAATCGAATGTAGAAAGAAAACAAACCAATGAACACGAAACACGCACACACGAAGGTTTTACAACGTTACTAACGGTTTTTATTATATTTCGAGCACGTTTTATGAGGTAAAAAATTCAATTTGTTTAAAAAATGGTAAAATCACTATAAAAAAGCTTTTCAAAGCTTCGGAAGCTGAGACGCAGAGAGAGCGCGGCTGGAAAACCTTTGTTGCCTTTGTTGTGCGGTTGTTATCCTTTTTGGTTAGGTTGTCTGAGATTTTTTTTTTGCAATTTTTTAGTGGCTGCTGTTCTTTGTTTCTGCTTTGTTGTCGGCGAATTTTTATTAATTTAATTTTTTTTTTTTTGAATTTTTTAACACTTCTCTGCACTTAATTTGGTTACCACATTCTATTACACCGTGTGCTTGTTTAATTTTATTTATTTATTTTTTCTTCCTTTCTGTCTGTTGTTTTAGTGAAACTGTTGAAGCTCTTGTTGTTCCTGTAGTTTTAACATAACGATAACTTGTCACTCTAGCTGACAACCCACAAAGTTCCACAACTGCAAGTAAAAGAGAGAGAAAGGAATGAGAAAATTGTTATTGAGTGTAGGAAAAAATTAATTGAAACGAAGCACTAAAACAATTAAAAATATGGATATACACATAAATAAAGTGAGGTTATGACCGCTGATTGTCTAACGAATACTTCAACTTAACCTTAAACCCATAGAGATTCCATTTTCAATTAAATTCTAATGCCATAACCCGCCCTTCTCGTGTCGCACACTTAATTGAAAAGGGAAATTGTTTTCAGCGTCAACACTTTGTTGGTGGAAAGAAAGCGTGAGCGCTCACAGATTGTTTGTTTGTAATATGCTAACAAAACAAATAACTCCCAATCGGTCAGTGAGGTTTTCAGTATGAGCCCTTAACGGTTTTAATTGGAAAATAAACTAAAATCGCTTCAAAAAGTCTATGATTATATAAGTATACTGTGCGATATTTCTTTTTTAGTCTAGTTGTTAAAAAAAATGTTACAATAAATAGCGGTGAAAAATACTCATAAATCGTATTTTAGAATTGTATCTCTTTAACATGTTAATTTAAATCTTTTTAATTTTCAAATATAATCGTTAAATTTGTATTTACTTCATTTTTATTTTTTAATTTCTTTTTATCTTTTATTTAATTTATTTTAATTTTATTTTTTATTTTATTTATTTTTTTTATTTCACATATTTTTTTATTTTTTATTTCGTTTATTTTTATTTTTTAATTCGTTTATTTTTATTTTTTATACCGTTTATTTTTATTTTTTATTTAAATTATTTTATTTTTATTTTTTATTTAAATTATTTCACTTTTATTTTTTATTTAATTTATTTTATTTTGTTTTGTCTGATTATTTTTTTTTTAATTTTATTTATTATTTATTTTTTTATTATTTTTGTATTTTCATTTTTTTTTTTTTTGATTTTTACTTTTCTTATTTTTATTTTTTTTTTTAATTCTTTTATCTCTTTTTATTTTTTGTTTTTCTATTTTATATTATTTTTTATTTTATATTTTATATTTCGATTATTTTTAATTTTTACCTCGTCTATTTTAATTTAAAATTTTTATTTTTTTATTTATTTTATTTTACTTTATTTTATTTTGAATTTTTTTTTAATTTTTATTTTTTTAATTTTATTTTTTATTTTAATTTTTTATTTTTTATTTTTCAATTTTTTATTTTTCAATTTTTTAATTTTTTTATTTTTTTTCATTTTTTTAATGTTTTTGTTATTTTTTTTTTTCATTTCTTTAATGTTTTTATTATTTATTTTTTTCATTTTTTTAATGTTTTTATTTTTTTTTTCATTTTTTTAATGTTTTTATTATTTTTTTCATTTTTTTAATGTTTTTATTATTTTTTTCATTTTTTTAATGTTTTTATTATTTTTTTCATTTTTTTAATGTTTTTATTATTTTTTTCATTTTTTTAATGTTTTTATTATTTTTTTCATTTTTTTAATGTTTTTATTATTTTTTTCATTTTTTTAATGTTTTTATTATTTTTTTCATTTTTTTAATGTTTTTATTATTTTTTTCATTTTTTTAATGTTTTTATTATTTTTTTCATTTTTTTAATGTTTTTATTATTTTTTTTTTTCATTTTCTTAATGTTTTCATTATTTTTTTTGTTCATTTTTTTTAATGTTTTTATTATTTTTTTCATTGTTTTAATGTTTTTATTGTTTTTATTGTTTTTATTATTTTTTCATTTTTTCATTTTTTTTAATGTTTTTATTGTTTTTATTATTTATTTCATTTTTTTAATGTTTTTATTATTTTTTATATTTTTTAATTTGTATTATTATTTTTTTCTTTTTTTTAATTATATTTATTTACATTTTTAACTCTTAATTTTTATTTCTTTAAATTTTTTTTAATTTTTTATTCATTTTTTTTATTTATTTAGTAATTTCTTAATTTCTCAGTTTTATTTTCTCTGATTAACTTTAACTTTTTGATTTTTTAAAATTTTCTCGTTTCTTTTTTAATTTTTCTTCCAATAAATTTTCAGTTTATTAAGTCTTATTTTACTTTTTTGTTTCATTTTTTAATGATTTAAAAATTTGAAAAATCATTAAAAAATGTTTAAATTAATTAATTTGTTTCGTTTTTTTATTAATTAATATTAATTCTTATAAATTTTTAAAAAAATTTAAATTAATTAAATATGTATTTGTTCTTATTTTATTTTTCTATTTAATTTGCTTAAAGTTTTTCAAATTTATTATATTTAATTCACTTTAATTTACTCAAATTATTCCATTTAGTCCTCTTTCTTAATTTTTTTTAAATTCCATATTTAATTTACTTATTTGTTTGAATAAATTCAATTTTTTATTTATTTTTCGCCTTATTTTATTTCCTTACTTTTATTTTATTTTTCATTTATTAATATTTCTTTACTTTTTCATTTTTTATTTATTTTTGATTTTTACATTTTATTGGTTATTTAATTATTTTATAAAGTTTTTAATTTTTATTTTAGTTTATTTTGTTCTATTTTTTTATTTAATTATTTAATTTATTTGTATTTATTTTATTATTAACCATCGAAAAGCCTCTGACATTTTAGCAAACATTTCAACAAATTCAGACAAATGTTGACTTGCATATCTAAATTTCATGACACAAGCGCCAAAATGTATGCATTTGTACGTCTGAGAAAGGTCAACCAATATTGTTGGGGACGAGACACGAGAGAGACACGTCATTATCAAGCTAAATATAGTGTAGCCGTAGACATGAATGATTCATGGCAAAATTTGATGGAATTGTGGTTACGCCATAGGGTTTGCCTGAACTAAACTAAACATGAATTTAAATCACATAACGAGCAAAGGAAAATGCAGTAAGATAAAGTAGAAAATATAGGACACCACCATAAAAAAAAGAAAACGAAAAGAACAACAAAACCAAAAATATTCTTACAGACAACAAGGCAGTGCAGTAATTTAGGTGGGCCTGCCCGCGTCATTGGTGTCATTAGCATGCTTTTAGGCGAACACACATTTTTCGTGCCTAATCAGCTGACAGCCATTCTTCGCTGGTAGTGGGCATGCAGTAGCCCGAAATATATTACTTCACTGACTCAATGCGACCAAAATAGAAAAGGTAAAATCATTAAATCATTTCAATTTGTGGGTGTTAGACAAACAAACACTCTTATACATATATACATAAATATTTGCATGTAATCGAATTTACCACTTTTGCCCATTTAAATTGAAAGTAAATCATGGCATGGCATATACATACGCACCTAGAACACATACATAGATACATACATACATACATCTGCACACATCGTTCGATGTTGGCGCGTCAAAAGTTAATAGCGCAGCACAAATGTGATTAAAGTAGCGAGAACGGGGGGGGGAGGCGTTTTGCACACCAAAGAGTTGCGAAAATAATTAATTGCAAAAGCTAACATGCAATTTAGCAAGTTGAGTGGCTGTGGGCAGGTGTGGAGAATATTTAAATGTTGAGTGCCAGAGTTCAGTAAGCAGCACAAAAATATGTGTGAAACAATTTTTCTAACTTAAATTAATAAAATAACATTTTTTTTTATTAACAATAACTTTTTATCAAAAGTATGTCTCAAAAATATGTCGCCTAAATGTAGGCAACAATTTTGTAAGATACTTTAATTAAAATTTATTTTTTTTTACTAATAATAATTTTTATTATTATTATTATTATTATTTCGCTTAAAAGCGGGCAAGAATTTTTCAAGAAAAAAATTTATACTTAGAACAATGCCTATAGTTCGGCGCAAATCACATATATAAATTTTAATTTCATTTATTTTTATTTATTTACTTATTTACTGATTTCATTATTATTATTTTATTTATTTTATTTTATTTATTATATTTTATTTATTATATTTTATTTTATTTTATTTTATTTTATTTTATTTTATTTTATTTTATTTGATTTTATTTTATTTTATTTTTATTTATTTACTTATTTACTGATTTCATTATTATTATTTTATTTATTTTATTTTATTTATTTTATTTATTATATTTTATTTATTATATTTTATTTATTATATGTTATTTATTTTGTTTATTTATTTTTGAATATTTTAGTATCATTTTTTTAATTTTGTCTTTCTACTTTAATATATTTTTCTATATTCAACTCTTTTCTTTGATTTGAAATTTCTTTCAAATCTAACATTTTTATTTTTCTTATTTCATTTCATTTTTACTTAATTTTATTTTGTTCACTTTTTTTTATCCAATTTTATTTCATTAAAGTTTTCTGATTATTATTTTTAATACGTGTTTCAAAGCAAATAAGCTTTTTCGTCTAAGATATTGCCTACATTTAGGCGAACTTATTGAAATTCTTGTAATATTAAGCAGTCCATCTTATTATATAATATAATTAAAAATAATGAACACTGAAGACGTTGCCTACATTCAGGCGACGTTTTTTTTTTTAAATAATACTACTTGTTAAGAAATTTATAAAATTTAAATTTTTTATGTACTTTACAAATAAAATATTATCTTTGTTTCACAAAAATAATAATTTTCACTGTAAAAAAAATAATTATTTTTATAATAACAAACAAATATTAACGTATGTGAACACTATACGCCCTTTGAGCAACCTGCATGACCCCATTTATTAACGTTTATACATTATATATGTAGGTTTGATTGTATGCGTATACATATGTTAGTACGAGGTATTCATTCATTCATTCATACTTTCATGTTAACCTATAAAAGTTGAGTGCAGCGGCACCCAATGACTTCGTGTTGAGTTCGTATGCACTTAATATAGTAATATATACCCCATATGTATGTATGTATGTATGTATGTATATGAAAAGCATTTCAAAGCGAAACTTAACGTAACGAAACGAACTAATAACCGAAAAAGCCAATTGACCCAGTTATGAAAGGATGAAAAGGATGTACATGTATGTATGTATGTAAGCTTACCGCTGGAAAGCCTTGACTTTCTAGCAACGAAGTGCCAAACG